CAGGCAGCAAGCCTGTTGGTTGGTGCCGTTCACACCCAGGGTGGGTCTTCTGTCTTCAGTAAATCCCTTCAGCCACACCCAGAACTATGCTAATCTAATTTAATTGGGCATTTCTTACTCAAATTGACACAATCAGTTAACTCTCACACCCATACTGATTCCAGACAATCTATACCTTCCCCAAACCCAAGACTGCTGTCTTTGTTTCATCTCTAACACAGCCACCAAGAAAAGTGCAAAAGCATTTTTATAGTCTCTGTTTCTCTCTGTGCACCAAGCTCCAAACATATTTCCACCTAGAACAACTACAATGATCTACAATTGAAAATGTCAATTCAAGCCCCCTGTCCCTGCCAGGAAAGACCACTGGAGATCTAAGGACAAAATTGAAGTGTCTTATTTACTTTGACTAGCCTTGCTTACAGTGACCTAGTCTCTGAGCATCTCTCTCCTCTCTGTGTTTCTCTCTCTTTCTCTCCCTCCCTCCCTCTTTGTCATTTTAAAAAGATATGTTAAATAGCATAAAAGTTATTATCTTAAACATATGCAGTGCAATGGTATTAAGTACTTTCCTATTGTCATGCAACCACCCATCTCCAGAATTGTTTCATCTTGCAAAAATGAAATTTTGTATCCATTACATAATACCTTCTTATGCCTCCCTCCCTCAACACCTGGCATCCACCATTAAATTTTGTATCTTTACAAGTTTAACTAATTAGAGTACCTCACCTAAGTATAATCATGCAGTTTGCATCTGTGACTGCTATGTTTAACTTAACATCCATGAGGCTCACCTATAATATACAATGTATCAAAATTATCTTCCTTTTGGAAGCTGAATACTGTTCTTCTGTATGAATATACCACATTTTGTTTATCCATTCATCTGCTGATGGACACTTGGCTTATTTTCACCTTTTGGTAATCGTAAATAATGCTTCCGTGAACATGATTAGATAGTTATTTGCTTGAATTTCTGCTTTCAGTTCCTTAGTACATGTACTCAGAGTTGTAGGATCATGTAAGAATATTAATTCTATTTTGAATTTTTCTAGTTTTGGTTGTACTGAGTGATGATTACATGTTTTCATAAATGGGATTGAACTCAGGCCCTTCACACTGAGATGTATTTCCAGCCCTTTTTAGTATTTATTTTGATACAGGGTCTTGCTAAATCTCCCAGCCTGACTTTGAACTTGGAATGCTCCTGCCACAGCCTCCCAAGCATCTGGAATTATGAATGTGTCCCACTGTGACTGCTTATCTTTAATTTTTGAGAAACCACTGTATTGTTTTCTATAGAAGCTCCATCATTTTCCATTTCCACTGGCTGACTCTTTATCTTTTCTATTTTCCTTTTCATCCTCCATCTTTCCCATATCTTTACCTTCTTTGCTTTTTTCAAATACCAACCTCATTTCTGTGGTAGAGCCTTTGCAATATTTGTCTCCTTTGCCTTCACATCTCACCACACTGATATTTACCAGGCTGGCTCATTCTGATCATTCACTTTAGATTCCAAAGCAGAGACATTCATGGATGAACCATTTATCGTTCCAGTAGTATAACACTTACCAAATTGCATGATTTCCTTTTATTTTCTTCCTTCCCACAACATATCTATAATTATAACTGACATATTAGAGATTGTTAAAATGTTATAAGAATTAAAGCAACAAATTTCCTAGTGTTCTACCGATGAATATTAAGCATTAGTGAAAACCTGCAGTCATCACTCAAAGAATAACGTGTATTAGAACCAAATTAATGCAAGAGAGACTCCACAATTTTATAGCATCATCAAGAATGGTAATTGATCTAGTTGTCTAGATTAGTCAGACTCTAGTAGAAATTCTGCACATTATTAATTTGGGTATTTCAGAAAAAATATGTTCTTGTTGGTCTCAAATTATCTCAATCATTACTCCTATATTTCTCTGTACTTGATATATACAATATCTGTCCTGGACATACTTGTAAAATCTTTTGTGTACTTCTCAGTAGCAAATTTCAGTGTTATATCCAAAATAAGAAGCACTCATGTCACATACCTTCCACGTAAAATTTCTAAATTGATATTTTATAGTTCATTTTAGTAATAACCACTTTCATAACCTGTAAGGTCGTCTGTATTAGAGAAAACTCATTCAGGTAGTGTAAAAGGAAAATTGTTATTTCATTTTTATATTAAGTGAATGGGTGACCATGAATAGGCTATTCTGGATTATAGACCATCTCCTGGCCTGGTTATCATTATGATGAGGCCATACATTTTGGATGGGCTAGTTTTAATATTGCCTTGATCCTTCTGTCCTTATGCTATTAATTGCATGATAAAAGCTCATTAAATATCTAGCTGAGAAGGGAACATATATTCATTTATTAATAACCATATTTTTTCATTATTTTCCATGGTACTAGGGTTTGAATCCAGGTGTACTCTACCACTGAGTTACCCTCCTAGCCCTTTTTATTTTTTATTTTGAGACAGAGTCTCACTAAGTTCCAAAGCTTCTGAAGCTGAGGTTGAACTTGCCCTCCTTTTGCTTGTGTCTCCCAGAGTGCTAGGATTACAGACAAGCCTACGCCACCACACCCTGCTTAAAAAGATGGTTTTGAAGTTTGCATCTAGGATTGGAACTGTTTTCATGCAGTGAGGAATAGAGGAGTACCAACACCTCTTCTTCAAGAGCTAGTTGGCATAAACTTTCTTATATATGTTCACTCCTCTGATAGATGAAATTCTGCGCATACTAACTTAACTAATTTATAAGGGACTATTGTATGATTTACAAAACTATGGAAAAACAGTTTTTATCTGAAAACCTTTTAATAATTCTTTCCTTTTATGCAAAAGATACTGTCATTGAAGTCATTATTCTTTCATTTTGTTTTCAAAAGATTAATAAGGTGGAAAATCAGAATATTGTTTATTTTCTTAATATAAAATTATGCAAATTACCTTGTTGTTCAAATAGTTATTATAAAACTTCACATGTGTTAAGCAGAATTGGTTGTAGAGCCCACTACATTTCAAGGACACTGGTGAGAATATGTGGCAATAGGGTTTGAAAATATTAAATCCATCCCTTTCATCCCTTTTATTACTTTTACATAGGGTTTATAGTGTGAAATACTTTGTAAACATTACGTTTCTGCTGTAAAGGTTTATATCCGCATTTTGAGGCATAATTTTTTATGATGCCTTTGCATATTGTATCACAGGCTTCTTTAGGGCAACAAATAATAACTTATCCCTTCTTGCTCACAAAAGGGCGTCTTTAGAGAAATAAAATCAAATCTTTACAAAATTCTGTTGATGTAGTACATTCAGAACATTTTGAAAAACTGTTGGTATAAAGCCTACTTTAAAAACTAACAAAAGACCTCTTCAACACATAAGCTGTTAAGTATTCAGCTGAATATGTATGGAAAGTCAGTGGAGGAAATTGTGTCAGCTTTTGCTGTTCTACTAAGGAGGAAAAGGGACTGTAATATTAACAATAGTCATCAAATCTTTAGGCATAATTTGTTATCTTCAGAGGTTTTTGGTCAAAACAGAAGTAATAAGCACAATAGTTTGAAAAATTTTTAAATCACTAATAGTTATGCATACCAGTTCATAGTCAAGAACTACATTAACATTTAATGAGCTGTTGAAATTGGGGTGGCCACATTCATTCTTACTTTTATTTCTGCAAGACTGACTTGATTTTGAAATTGTAGACTACATATGCCTATATTGAGCCTATATCATAATACTTAGCATAGTTTACTATAACTATCTTTTCACTTGCCTTTACTTTTTACTTTACCTTTCCTGTTAGGTTGTAAACTACAAGAGTTCAGGCTTTATGTCTGCCATATTCACTCTCTATATCTTGACTATCACAGGTACTTAGCCCTATACTAAAAACATAGTAAGTACTACATACTTATTCATTATCAATGTCCAGAAAATGAGTCATTCTTTTAGAAATATAATTACAGGAAAGGGTGATGATGTAAAATCCAAATGTCAATTTAATATTGAATTCATTAATTATCATTACACGATCTCTTTAAAAGAAAATACTGTTAGGGTGATATGCATGAGACCTCATATGTTACTCATAAGAGTATTTTTATGGATTACTTCATTAAATCTTCACAGCACCATAGAAAATCATAACTATCTTCATTCTACAGTGGAAGGAATTGAGGCTTAGGGAAGATAAGTAAAGTCTCATGGTCTCATAGCTAGTGAGTCCCTAGCACAGATTTTAACTTTGCTCTTTCTTCACCCACTCTTTCTTTCAGCTCAATCTTTGAGTCAATCAATATTTGGAATGCCAATTCAATCAGAACAGAAATTCAGAGAAACTAAATTTCATGAGGAACACAGCTAATAAATGATAGAACATAGTATTAAGCCAAGTTTGTACAGCTCTGAAGCCTGTGTATTTTTAGTCCAGGGCACAGACTTTTTCCTTTAACAATAATAATGCATTCTGCACAGAAGCTATAAACAACCAGCTGTGTATCATCCAAATTGTGCTGAGCAGGTCATCGCCATAAATTGTTTATCCTGACAAATTCTTAAGGAAGGGCTGATCCATTTATTTTTGGTTTTGGTTAAATCAGAGTAATTCCCAAGCAAGACAGTTTGAGACATTTCATTTCCCTTTTTGTTATTTCTATATTTGTCTTTATTCTACCTTTTATAAATGATACCTAAGAAGAAATATATGGAAAAATGTAAAAAAAGCTATTAGAATAAAGATGCATGATGCTGCAGTCCCTGTAGAAGGAATACTCTAGAGTCCCTGTAGAAGGCACCAACTATGCTTAAGAAATTTTGTAACACTCAAATTAAATATAGAAAATATAGCACTGCTGATGAAAGGAGGAACTTGACCATGTATAAAATATGATATTGTCTTACATAAGCAGGAAGTTTTGCCATGCTACATAGGCTCTCTTGTAAGAAATACTAATGATGTCTTGTTGAATCCTAGAGTCTCAAGTGCCCGACCAGCCAAGCTCTCTTCATGTGAGGCCCCAGACCAACTGCATCATCATGAGCTGGACCCCACCCTTGAACCCGAACATTGTGGTGCGAGGTTACATCATTGGGTATGGCGTTGGTAGTCCTTACGCTGAGACGGTGCGTGTGGACAGTAAGCAGCGATATTATTCCATTGAGAGGTTAGGTGAGTAGTGATGATTTTTATTTTACATAAAAAAAGATGATTTATTTTAAGCTATCCTATCCAGAAAGGGGGGGAGCTTATGATTTCAATATGTAGCATAGATTAGTTGCTAAAACCTATGCCCCCCCTTCTCTCATGTCTTCATACACACACTCTGTCTCTAGAGTTTGAATTTGTGGAATTTGACCTAGAGCATCTACAGTGACTCGTGCTCTGATTTATTTCCTTCCTCATGTGTACTAGAATAAACAAAGAGCTTTGCTTTCTTTTTCCAATGGTCAGTGGAAACTTCTAGTCTTAATAATTCTTATAAAAAGAAAGTAAACACATTTTCTGTATCCATATTTCATTTTATTTCCAATGCATTTTTTTTTTGCTTTATTGTCTTCACCAGGAAAAATTCTGTCAATTATTCTTTAATCTTAACCACAGTACCTTCTTTTCCCTTAAGGATCAGATAAAGCTCTGTGACTATGTCATTATGACTGTAAAACAACAAAATGAAAAAAGGAATGTTTAGTCAAGCTGTAAATTGAATTTATCAAATCCATCCTACATGGATTTCTGTTCCCTCCCCAATCTAAATTTTCTTATTACACTCTACCTTGTTTTTTCTTTTATTTATTTTTTTTATGGAATACAATGCTTCAATTGTGGTATATCTGAATTCATTCACAATTTGTTCATTCAGAGAGGTCTGTTGTGTATATATACCTTCAAATTAATTTTATATATGATTTTCTTTAGTGCTATAAAAGATCATGTCATTAGTAAAGGTATATAAAATAAATACAGTGTATGCACTGTATCAGATGCCAGTAACTTAAAGCAAAACGCAAGTTGATTCTACCTGTTGATTTAATGGCCAGATTATTGGCAGTGAATTACCTTTACCCCTCTGGAAATGCAAACTTGTTAGGGATGGGAGCATGTGCTTATTTGCAATGTCTCTCCCAGACAGAACAGTTGTAATGAGAAACCCTATTTGAATTTGAATAGCTAAAATGCACTAGCAAGAAAAGATTTTCTCAGTGCAGGCAGAAAATTGCACTGACCCATTCTCTCTGTAATTGCTTCAAACACTAATAAGTGAAGCACCTACTGAAACTCCACAATTTTAGTCAGCTTGGCATTTAGAAATAATATTCCCTCAGTCAGACCCTGAGTTGGGATATAAGGGCAATCACAAAGCTCATATTTTACGGCTGTCAAACCTATGTCAGGGGACTCTCCTTATCCATTATTCAGAATACACCATCTCTGACAGTTCATCTTGATGCCACTTACCAGTCAGAGGGAGGGAGTGCATGGCCATGCACAGAGCCCTGCAATAAGAATGAACATGGTGCACACTCAGGAGAAAGGGAGGAACAACACACTATACTATCACTGTGTCCTTTGGATGATGATACGCTTTATTACAAAGACATTCTCTGGAACCTCCAGATCTTACAACTACTTAGAAGTCTGTAAATTAACATTGAGAGATTTTCCCAAATAACTGGCAAAAAAAGGGAAAACTCCCTTTTTAAGGTATGTTCTAAAGAGCTAGGAGAGGGCCTGGTGTTGTGGCTCAGTAGTAGAGAATACTTGGCCAGAATGCCTGACCCCCTGCATATGATCCCAGCACTGAAAAAAGAAAAAAAAAAGGCAACTTGGGATATGACCTATATCATCAATAGTCATGAATTTGCACTGGAAAATTTATTTGGAAAGAGAAATTATATTCATATATATGTATGTATTCAAGTACTACCAATTGATGTGCTTGAGTCCTCACATAAAATATGAAATGAAATAATTAGTTATATAATAATTATTCTCATGATTGTGCAATTAAACTGGCATTTTCCAACTAACACTTTCACTATGTAACCAAAATGTATGTGAGATATCATAAGCTCTGATTTTTATAAAAATGACAGATTCTTCCAAATCTACATTTAAATTCTGCTAAGAAACCACAATTTTATTTATTCAATTGAACATTAAGTTGGGCGCTTCAGGGATGAGACAGTTGCTGAGTGGTAAAGTGTTTGTCTAGCATACAAAAGGTCTTGGGTTTGAAAACTAGCACCAGAAAAAAAAATCAAGTTTCATAGTGTCTTTTTGAAAAGGTATTTCTAAATGTATTTTTATTTTTAAAGCTGTCTAATCATTATAGAAACACAAAGTTATCCAGTCATTATATATATAATAAAAGGAAATTTTATGTTTAAGGACTGCATGTTTTAATTATACAACTGAAAGTTAGTTAAAATTATCACCCATTGAAGCATAAGTAATAACTGCTTTTTCATTTCTGTATTGGTAATTTCTGTTACTTTCTATTGCTTTTTAAATTTTATTTCATTAGTATATTTTTGTAATATATGAAGTTTTAATACATCTTAGAGCATAGGTACATATATATAACATGCCTTGACTCATTTTTATTCTCCTTCCCATCCCCACTCATCCCATCCCTCCCTTTTCTAGAACCCCTTTCCCCATTTTCATTATTATTGTTAGCTCACATTCCTAACATACAATGTTTAGATTCATGATAGGTATTTAGTGCATGTACATGACAGTTCTTAAATATTTTTATTCCCCCACCCCACCTTGCCCTTGGTTTCCTGGACCTGTTCCCATTTGCAAAACATCTGTTTCCCTTTTTCCTTCTATGAAACTTTTATTTTGTTATTAATTTACACTTTCTCTTGTTGCTTTTTTTAATGCTTGGTAGAGATTTACTAATTAGTTATCAAAGAAAAAGCCTTTTATGTTACTAATTTATTATCTACCATATTTTTCTTTCATGATTGCTCTTATTTCCTTTCTTCTACCTATTGTAGTTATTCTTTGGGCTTGAATTTTTAATTTCTTAAGGTGGAAATGTATAAGTACCTATGGCTACTAGTATTCATCTAAGTACTATGTTACTTGTATCCTACAAAGTATGATATGTTATATTTTATTAACTTATAGTTCAAAACATATTCTACTTTCCCTTATGAGGTTTTAATTGCTCCTTATGGTTTGGGGTTTTCCTAGTTATCTTGACATTAGAAAACATACTATTTAATTCTGTTAGTTTTAAATTTCACTGAGATTTTTTAAGAACTAGCATACTGTCAATGTGGATGAATGTACTATGTGAATTTGAAAATAATGTGTGTTCTACCGTTGCTAGATATAGAGTTATGAAAATGATAGATCAAAGTCTTCAATAGTGTTTTTTAGATTATCAGTGTCTTTACTAAATTTTCTGCCTAATAGTTCTATGAATTGCTAAGTCTAGGTGCCAAAATTATCATGGGGAGTTTGTTATTAAATAATCATTTCTCCTTCTCAAATTACCTCAGTTAACATTCAGAATACCCTTATATTTTTAGTTATAATCTTGGACTTTGAAAAGTGTTTTATCTATCATTAATATAACCACACTGAGTTTACCATTTATTTTAGAGTTCTAATCAACCTCTATAAAACTATCACCTCTTAATGGCAATGAATTGAAATCTTTTAACACCATTGATGTGGATTAAAAGAGATGTGAAGTTAACTAATGTTTTTCAAATTTGGAATTATCCTAGAAAAGGAAGACTATATAATTAAAACTTTTAGAATTTTAGGGAATATCTGTTACTTCTTTTGAAGTGTTTTAACTGAAGTTTGAAAACATTTTTTCCAGGTAGCCTTTTCTTTCATTCTTATTATCCTTTCAGTGGTGCATTTTAAAGGACCATTGTTTTGATAAATTGTTGAAAGCATAATGTGGGCATGGAAAAATAGAAATAAATATGGAAATGAATAGAATTCTAAATCTGGAATTTTTCCCCTTGCAGAGAGATTAACATTGAGAAAGTGACTTGAACTCTGGCCTTGTATCATAGAGTATAAGTGTTAAAGTTGTGAAAAATATTTAATTAAATAGCAAAGTTCATCATTTCTATTTATTTATTAGTATATATTTGCAATACATAATGTTTGCATTCCTTGTGTGGAGTTGGTTCCCATACATGGCACATCTTAATTCTCTTTTTCAGTCCCCTTCCCTCTCCTCTTCCCCCCACCTCAATCTCTTGGTCCCCTTCCTTTTTAAGATAGATTTATCTCTATACTTCCTATTGTCTATCTCTTAATTTGCACATTATCTATCCTTTGGGTTTCTCATATGAGAAAAATATTCAAGTTTGTATGTCTGATTTATTTCATTTAATATTATGATTTCAAAGTACATCCATTTTCCTACAAATGACCCAAGATTATTTTTCTTAATGACAATGAAATACTCCATTGTGTGTAAATACCACATTTTCTTTATTCATTCATCTGTTGTAGACATATGGGTTGCTTCCATTATTTAGCAACTTTGATTTATGCTGCTATAAACATGGGTATGTATGTATCGCTGTAATATAATGTCTTTTGTTTTTCTAGAAGATACTTAGAAGGGGAACAGTAGGCTTTCATGAAATTTCTAGTTTTAGTTTTTTGAGTAATCTTCATACTGATTTCCATAGTAGTTTACTAGTTTACATTCCCACCAACAGTGTACCAGTGTGCCTTTTCCCCAGCTGCCTTTCCAATACATGTTATTATTTGATTTCTTTTCTTTTGATTTTATTAATTTTATTGGTAAATTTTAGGTATACAATATGATGACATTCATCATTGGAAATTTGCAACTTTACATAATCCATCTTGGTTCTTATTTTTTCCTCATTCCCCTGCCCTCCCTTCAACCCTTCCATCCCTCCCTATTTATAAAAACTGTTGCCATTTTTTCTTTTTCTCATACTAATTCCATTCCTATCTTTCCTTTCCCCTACCCCTCTTACTTCCTTATCCCCTTGGCCCATTTTCTTCCTATTTCACACTATCTGTTATGCCTTTTAGTCCTTATTTACACTTTTGGTTTCTTACACTAGAGAAACTAATTTGTATTTTCACGTGTGTCCTATTTATTTCACTTAAGAGTATCACCTCAATGTCCATTCATTTAGCTATAAATG